GGCGGGGGGCTCACCACTTTTTGCTTGCAATGAATTACCATGAATATGGTAGAACAATATGCATAATACAAGTACCTACCGCTAAATAGTTTCAAAGAAATACTAAAGACGGAATTTCCTAATCCACAAGAATGTATTGAATATCCGCTACTAATATTTTCAAGGCCAAATTTATAATAGGAATTTCCTATCTTTAAGTATTAAAACTCATAATTCTTTACTCCATATTAAAATTTAAATTTCTTTACTCCCTAATCTATATCTTAATTTTCTCCTTATTTACAATTTGTCATAATATTTCTATTATTCTATGCATACGTTTTGCATATTACATACAAAAATAGATAACAGAACTCAAATTTGCGATCGAATTCATTTTGAAACCGAGCGCTTTTGCAACCATTCAAAATTTGAAAGTGTAAAGGAATGCTGAAAAGGGTAGCAGCGAGCTGTTACGAACAAGAACACAAAGCGTGCCCCGAACACGAGTGGCACGTTCCTTCGTCTTTCCTCGTCGTCCCTCGCCACAATTATATTCGAACTAAATTTTTTGCGGTTATGCGGTATGTTATTAAAAATGTACATTGAATATTTTTGAGTACCTTAATGTTCTCCTTATTTACAATTTTTCAAAATATTTCTACTATTCTATGCATACATATTTGCATATTACATACAAAAAATAAAGGAATGCTGAAAAGGGTAGCAGCGAGCTGTTACGAACAAGAACACAAAGCGTGCCACCCGAACACGAGTGGCACGTTCCCTTCGTCTTTCCTCGTCGTCCCCTCGCCCACAATAAACTGGTATGAGACTCTTTTGAGTCCCTGTGTGAAACGGCACTTCTTGGACATTTTAGTAGTAGAATAAATGAGGCAACCCTACCATTTTAGTGTGTGCATTAGTGATAATCTAAGGATTGGCCCGAACACGAGTGGCACGGTCCCTTTGTCTTTTCTAGTCGTCCCCTCGCCCACAATAAACCGGTTTGGGTTACAAAAGAGCATTGTATAAGCTTACAAGTAACCAAAGCATCAGCTGTTTTCCTATGTGTGGGTAACAGCCGTGCTCACCTGATCGAATCTGCCTTTTTTTGACACAGAGATGTAAATAACAGGAATGTATTGTAGTTTAAAAATTCTTGTTTGGGAACATGAATTTGTAATGAAGAATATAAATGAAAACTTTCAAGAATATTTTTGAAACAAAAGATTAATAAATATTTATTGCTTTTCCTCACCACCTCTGAGGTTGCAATATAGGCACGTTATCGATCTTTTTTGGGTCTTCAGTTCTCCAGGAGGCCTATATTCACCCATATAATATATACAGTTCTAAAACAATCTACTTTTCATAGCACATATATCTCAAAAAGATATATACATAAAATCAGGTACATGAATCAGGTTCATGAATATTAATGACATTAACAATATACAATAAGTTGAAGTATTCAACTTGATTTGAACAAAGACGAAAATAAATAAATAAAAGTCAGGTACAATTTAATTGTAATAATGAACAAATATAAGTGGAAACAATCTACTTGTATTAATTTTAACCAAAACAAAAATAAATATAAAAAATGAGGTACAATTCAGGAACAATAACAATAATCAAAACAATCTACTAATTAATAAATAATATTTACAAAATATTCTAAATCACCGTTATACAATAATATATTTAATTAAATTGGAAACTTTTAATAATATGTCAATAAAATAAATAATGATTTAAATAATACTATGTGAATTTAATCTTTAGGAATTAAAACAACCGAAAAATATTAAAATATGTAATAAAGACATTCTTAAAGTTATAATTTTAAAACATAACACGGCAACACACTATAGCAGATTTGTGTCATTTGGACGTTTTAGTAGTAGAATATTGGTGGGCAACCCGTACCAAGTGGGACATTTTTGCGTGTGCATTAGTGAAAATCTTAGGATTGTTTACTTGTATATTTATACCATGCAAAAGAGTCTGTGTGTAAAGTGGCACTTACTCGTAGATTTATACAATGTTCATTTTTGACTCGACTTAAACGATGTTTTCCAAGGGTAACGTAGGCTTAAGTGTAAGACCTAGTCGAGGTGAAATTATACCTTTCCCTCCATTCGAGAAACCCCGACCTATTGGGTATTTTAGCATCGTGGGCGGAATTTTGAGAGAATATGAACCTAATGCTCAACAACTGCGTTACTACAGACCTCCACCATCTCAAAAATATCCTCTAGATCTTAATGAAGGGCTTAGTTTAGCTATCAAAAAACCAGAAACAGTACAAGAGGAAGGACTTGACCACTTATTAAAATTTATCTTTGATAATCGCGAACGTTTAACAAGGTCTTTGTCGGCTTGCGACAACAGAAAACGTCTTATTGCTGAATTTGTGTGCTGGCGAGGGCTTTTACGTTTGTTGATGTGCACTCCATATGAATATCGAAGTGATTGGTCAATAGTTGTAACACGATTTAATGGCACCTTTTTTCTTTGGAAACGCGACACTGATATTGATAAGTTGCAGCGTTCTCAAGAGACCGAACAACAACGTACATTTGCTTCGTGGGGTTTCAAATTTGAACAATATTGTCTAACAGGTGCGTAGTTAAGCCAACTCTATAAAATAATAATCCTAAACCTCATAGAATCGCCGTTTCTGGAGCCGGACACAAGTGCACCAGTTGATGAATGCAGCGAATTTTCTTGTCTTTTTACAACAAAAATTGGGGGTCTAGATGTACTATATGGTGCTGAAATGGATGGCATTGTAAGTGAGCAACCGATATTGCTGTAAGTAACAATTTTTTTTATATTATCTGCAGATACAGGACTTCTGTTTTTTAGTGATGATAACCCTGCATATTTAGAAAAACTAAAATTTGTAGAAGTAAAAGTACGTCAAATAAACCTGAATAGAAATCAAATTCAATCTTACAAACGTCATAAAACTCGCAATTGGTGGTGCCAATCATTTTTGGTAGGTATTCAAGATATCTATATGGGTCTACGGAATGAGCAGGGACAAGTTGAACGCATTGAACACGTTGAAGTACGCTCTCTACCAAAGCAAGGAATAGTAAGTATCAGAAATGAATTAATGTATTAAAAGATTCTTAAAAATTATTATATTTATAAGAACCAATGGACACCAAATGTATGTGCTACATTTTTGATTGATTTCTTAAATTACATAAAATCAATAATGTCTGAAGTAAATTGCCCGTATACTGTTTACGACTTTTACTTCAACTCCAGGCGCGGTACCGTAACGTATGAATGCATACGAGGGAAGAACGAGTATTCATTTCTACCAGACTACTACATTAAGTTAATGAATTCTAAAAACAACAGTAAAAAACAGTAAGAAAAATTTAAGATACTTATTAACATACATAACAAGTACATAAGTAAAATATGTAAATAAAAATTAATTAAATATTTTTCATACAAAATAAAAACACATTTCATTTCTTTCCTATCAGTATATTTTATTCAAATAAAAAAGTTAATTTTATCACTATTTATTAAACGCCTTAACGAAATATAGATTTTCAGGGCTGTATATGCTGAACTTAACATGAGAATGTTTAAATTTATGTAATGGAAAAGTTTGAACATTTCACCACTTTTAATATGCAGCGCTGTTAAGCTCTCAAAAGAAACTTCAACTACTTTCTGAATACATTTAGAGTTCTGTTTTCTTAGATTTGCCACTGCGGTCAAATCCATTGAGCTCATTCGTAGCGTGTTTGGCGATGTACTTAATGAAGTCGTCGACCTCACGACCTTCGTTGTAAGCAACGGGTTTGTCTTTTTGATTTTTGGGCAGCCAGAAAAGTGTTGGGAATCCACGAACATTGAACTCTGGTGGTACATCGTTGGCAGTGGCATCCATTTTAACAAGTTCTACATCTTCATTCTGAAATTTCTCGGCAACTTCATCAAATACTGGTGCTAATTTCTTGCAATGCCCACACCAAGGTGCATAAAATTCTACCAATGTATCTTTGCTGTTATTAATGACTACTTCGTCGAAGTTTTTGGCAACAGCAACTTTCACAGGGGCATTATTGTTTTCTGGAATGGGCTCCGACTTCACGTAAGGCTCAAGTTCACCATTAAGTAATTTTTCAACGAAATCTCGCAGATTCTCAACCGAGAATTCCTCCTTCAGTGCATATTTGAGATTCTTTTCATCGCGGGCTAAAATGACGGGCTTGTCTCCAACAAAATCATAACCATATTCATTTAGTTCATGCTGGAAATCATCCTTTGCGCTAATAGCGAATGTAGCTTTTTTAGTGAATTCTTTTGCCACTTTGAGAATGCGATTACGCCAATAATTTGTTCCTTTTGGATTCTTTACATAGTCAACAGAGTAGTACGCAACAATAAGTGGATTTTTAAAGTCGCGAACAGTATCCTGGGTACGATGACCGACCAAACCATGGCTGTAGGAAGGATTTGTTTACAAATCAATTTTTTAGTAAATATAGAATAACAATATATAACTCACAAATTCTCCTTCACGAATGTATTTAATTCAGATTCGGATGATCCCTCGAACTGTACATTTGTTTCCTCAAATTTGTTCGCCAAATGTGGTGGTCGGAAGAGCACAATTTTTTCTCTGTGCATTATATATATAGACGAAAAAGTTTAATTATTTCGTTGAAATAAAGATAGTATAAATAAAGAAATAGTTTATTTTTTATAAAGTTACAAAAAATATACATTAGTTCAAAATAATATTGAAATAGTCTTGAATATGTCTTCTAAGTTAGATTAATCTTCATGTTAGAATATTCTTTTCTTGGGTTCACTTACGTTTCTCCATATTTAGCGAGTACATCAGGGTCATTACTATGACCAAAACGATATTTCTCTCTATTCTTATCAGCAAATTTGACGAACAGTTTAGCAAGGGCTACATCTGGGTCTTCGAAAAAGCCAAATATCGTTGTATCCTTGGTGTCTAGGAACTTATTTATTTCATCTACCGATTTAATATTCCTGGAAGCTGGTCCAACTTGAGCTCTCATGTATTTCACAATTCCATTTGCTTCACGAGGTCCACTATAATCTTGTGAAACTGACTCCCCACGGAAAATCTTAAGGGTTGGATAACCGCTTACAGAGAATTTACCGCAAGTTTCTTTACCGGCTTCTGTGCAATCAACCTAAATAATTGAGAGTACATAAGTATTCCAAATTATATAATTCAATTAGTTTATCCACAAACATACCTTTGCCAAAGTTATTGGTGGGTCGTCACTCTTTACAATTTCCGCAGCTTTGGCATACTCGGGTTTCAATCTCTTACAATGTCCACACCTAAAATTTATACAAATTACAAAAATTTAATAGCATCATCACCTCCTTAAACAGTCAAATATCAACGTTTTCCAACACAAATATTATCTTATCTGATGGTTGTAAAGTATTGAAAACAAAACATTTAACTCGGTTAAAAAGACAATGAATGCCTTATTGTACTTCCCACACACATGTACTTCCTCTTTTCGCCTCTAAGCGTGGTACATGCTTTAGATATTTTTACTGCCTTCTTTTCTATGAAATTCACTGTATGAGACCTTAAGATACTTAACACATAAAAATTGTACTCCTACAGCCGTATTTAGAAATTTTGTTTAAGGTTTAATTCACACTATTTGAATGTTTGTACATACATCTATAAAAATTTCAAAAATACCACTAACACATTTCTATGCTCGGTTCAAATTAAGGGCTTTTGCTAAATCGGCCCAAGGAAATCAAAAAATATGTAATCAAGCAAAATTTTAAAATAATAGTTTTTAAAACAAAAGTCATGACAAACCTCAAAGTTACTTTAAGGGAACTAAATGTACTACATACATATTTTTATACACGTTCTATCAACCAACGTGGCTTAAAATCACCCCTTTCTTTTTTGTTTGTTGAAGAAAGTACGAGAGAGGTGAAACATTTGATCGAGCAAAATTAAAATGGCTTCCAATAGCGATGACGTGTTATTACAGTCTTGGCAATTTATGTATCAATAATATACTTTATGCCCAATTGTTTCTAAAAGTTATAACTTACCATGGTGCATAAAACATAACCAACGTAGTTTCATGTTGCTTCAACACAGAATTGAAATTATCATCCGTCAATTCCAACACATCTTGCTCAGCGCCAGCAACTAGTGCCACAGAAATACAAATAATCACTAGTAATCGGTGCATTACAAATCAATAATCGGCGGCTAGTGGATGATTAATGAAATCACAATTATTCGTGACGCATGAATTTGCTAATCCGTCTTAGTAAAATAATACTTTTTGATAATACGATCGACCACAAAATTTTCTACCGGCTCCAAATGATGAATGCAAATTAATTGATTTCTTTGGCAGTGTAGAGTTGTGTATACATTTGTGAAGACAGGTGCTACCATATAACACACCCTTTGGAGTTCAACTCGGATCTATTGAAAAAAATAATACTTAACATAGCACACCGCAATGCAAAATTAATTTTTTTAATTTCTTAACGGTAGTAAAACTGGGAAACTTTATTTTTACTCCATAGATATGGCAACTGTATTCTGATTGATTTGTGTTGGCCGGCTCTGATTGGCTGGAGCTTTGTAGAGAAAATTGCGTTTATCTTGTAAATTAGAATTATTAAAATTATGAATGAAAATATGGCTATTTCATTTAAAATATCCAATGAAATATTCTTCACTAATAAAAAAAAAGGATTTTATTTAAGTAGTACACTCTAAACAAGAATTTTATTTGAAATTATTTTAGCATATTAGTAACTTTTAATTTTAAAGGAAAAAAATTGTTTCTTTTACATTTTTTATTCACCTAGTCTTAATACTGGACGATTATTTAATTTTTGTTCAAGGATTACTCAAAACTCGGATAATAGATATAACAATTTTACAACAACATAACGAACAACACAAAGTAAACAAGCAGGAAATTGTTTTGAATAGTCTGGCAGCCATAGACACGCATCACATGGCCAGTGCGCAGTCTTTTACAATATTGGAGCAGATAACTTAGAGGAACGAGAAGGTGCAAATTGAATTTTGTATGATGCTCGATTGGTCGGCTAACTGAGCTGAAAAATTGAGATCAAGGAGTTCACCATTTTCTGTAGTATTTGCTACTATTTAACAGAAATGAGAAGTTATAACCAGAGAACGTAAATGAATAGAGAAGGAGCAAATGTTAAATGAAATCTTTTTGAGTACTAATTTGTAATTCCAGATGAGGGAACATTGAAAAATATAACTTCGAAAAAGAAAATTACACCACACAATATGCGAAATGCTATAAATAGACACAACGAATATTCCTAAATGAAAAATCGTTGCGCATACCTATTTAGATATACATATGTTTTCAATTTCTATGATATGACAAAATTTATAATTATGAAAAGCCTTCTGAATTAAAAAGCTGTATTACCGGTAAAAACCCCAGAGTTTATAATAAAATAAACATTTAATAGGCTAGTTTTCCAACTTATGTATGTGCGTTGCGTGAGTAATTGCTTATTGAGTAAAGGATAAAGCGGCTGCGTTTCCACTTTTGAGGTGGCTGAGGTCGTAAGCGTGAAGGGCTCTGTTATAACAACTTTCTCTGACAAAATACGGTACTCCCAATATAAAGAGAAAATAATATACTTTGAACAAAATATACAAATGCCACTTCACATATGCATGATTATTTTTTGCCATATAAACGTTTATGATGAAAAATTTATAAAATATGATTTTTTTGCACAAATGCTACATTGAATGTGACAGATTATGCAAAAAATGATATTTTACTATTTTCATAATTTTCTAATTTCAATTGTTACAGAATTAATAATTTATGTATGTACATATGTACATCAATATGTTATATTATATAATATAATAATATATTATCACTTATCAATAAATACATGTGCGCGCACTCCTCTATATGTAACTTACATACTTATATAAATACATACAAATATGCGTATGACCAGAGAATGTTAATGAATAGAGAAGGAGCAAATGTTAGCTGTACTAAAATGTTAATTACGATGAGGGAACATCGAAAACGCGCAAGTTCGAAAAGAAAATTTCACCATCCTATTAATTTACGCAACGATCTACACCACTCTATAAGCAAAATGTATACACATACATATGCACAGATGTTCATTGGTATGCGCATAAACAAAAGTTTAAATAATAAAAACGAAAGAAATTGACTTCTGATAGGAAAATATTAATAATGAGGAAAATAATATGAAAATAGAATTAAAATATCATTCAATAAAAAAGGGTTATAAAAATAAAAAAAAGACTATTTAAAAATATGATAGGATTTGAACTTAGGCAAAATATTTCACGTTGCAATAAGTAAGCGTGCTATACAAGCAGCACCACAGACAATATTTAAGCACTGTTTGTAATCTGTGA